TTAGACACAATCAGATTTCCACTCAGCACTCTCTGATGTAATAAACACCGACTACTAGAGCAAATCTATCTCTCACTTTTAAAGGGACTCCCCTACGTAAATATATATTATGCATATTGGGTTTTTTTTGTCAGGTTGCAATTTGTATTTTAAAAACAATATATCTTGAGATACATCAATTTCAAGGAAACATTGTAAAGAGTTTGAAAATAGGATTTTATAATACGAAGAATAAAGATGTGCTTCATTTACGGAGTCCTAATCCCGACGGTAGGAGGCTTCAATAATCATATCTAAATAAGACTCGGCATTACCCTTGGGGGATTAACATAATAATGGGGCGGATGATGCTAGTAGGGAGCAGAACAGAGCAGAGCGGAGGGGGAGGGGGTGTCTTTGTATACGTATTATTTTTTATACAAATAGTGATAAGATGAATTATGTTGTTTTGTTTCTACACATATCAATGTATTATACTCTATGACACATTCCTTTTTATCTATGTATTATAACCCACAAAGGGTAAGCATGATATATATCTCATTCTCTACTATAATAGAGACTTTGTATCAACTAGCTTCCAGGGACCTAAACTAGCTAGGATGGTGTTAAGACGAAGCGCTGAATCAATCAGGATGCCTCGAATTGTATACTTATGTCAAGTTATTTTGAACTGACCAGGCCAATGCCTATTGTCATGGTGGTAAAATAACGATGAAAAGTTGTAATAGAGACCCCTTGAAGTCAGTTGGTACAATGAGATATAGGCATGTGTTGAGGAAAATACCAAGATTAATTCCACAAAGGTTTACGATTTCTGATTCCAGCAACCTAAAGTGACAGATTCGCCGATTTCAGGGGGTGATTTGGGCCTTGAATATTTGGAAGTAATCTTCAGAAGTACTGATACAGTACGAAAATTCCTTCAACTAGACCGAGAAATTCGACTTTTTATTCCTGTGAACTTTCAAAGACGGATAATTATGGATACACGTATTTCAACATTTCAACGGTAAGCTGTACCGTACTATAACCGATAAACGTAGCTGAATATGTGATAACGTCAACTCGGTATCCCTTTCAGACTTCACATATCTAATATGAAACATTTGGTATATACTCTATAACAGTGGTTCCCAACGTTTTTCAGATTTCACACCCCTGGAGCAATCACCTGGACCTTTTACACTCCTAAATATTTGTTTCATGCACATTTTCAGCATGTGTTGATGTGAGGTGCTCTCTCAATTCAAAATAATTTTTTTCTGCTACACCAGTTGGCCACACCCCTGACACCCTAGTCCCACAACCCCCAGGGGGTGAAAACACCCGAGGTTGGGAACCGGGGCTCTATAAACTAAAGTGAATTTCACTTCTGGAAGTTAATATTATAGAATTGATCTTGGTATTATACTCTTCATTTTGTACATAAAAACATTTTATGCAATTATATACCTCATATTCTTTTTTACCTATATTAAATGTTAGCACAGAAACTCAATGTTAATCGGTCAATCGTATAGTTCAATCAGTTATCGTTATTAAGCTTTCTGTTTATAGAAGGTATAAAGTGAGGTCACATCGGCACTTGTCTGCCTTCAAGCCCTTTGTTGTATTTTAAAGAAATTTAAATTTCATTTTACCATCTTCAACGTTTAGAAGCGTCCACAACAAGGCTTCGTCCTTTTCGGATGATTATCAACTGTAATATAGATTAATCTCACACCGTAGCGATTACCAGTCGCGTATTGATGCGAATAAAAAAAAGCGGTCAAAATTTTTGAACGCAACTCTTATGGCACTGAGGCGTGAGTTGCATTCGGAACTCATGGCCACTTTCATTATTTGAAAACACACGCAACTGATAATCGCTAAGATGTGAGGGTACCTTTACAAAGCATGCTAGCAAAGACTGCTTCCAAGTCGAAATTTTTACTATGCCATTATGATATGGGACCGCGCATTATTTTTCATTTTTATCATTTTAAATATCTCCATTTTGGGGGGATAGGGCTAATTTCTTCAATGCACATCGAAAGAAAACCTATATTGAGCAGCTATAAACTATTTCGCACATTCCTATTATTCTCCCTGTATGTTTTTGTGTTTTCGTATTGTTAATTGTATTTGTTCACGACTTAAAAGATACTCTACCCCACGTTTTTCAGCACTGCAAAACGTGGAAGTTTTACTCCAGTATTCTAATGCAAATCAAGTTTGTTTCAATTTTCCCCAAAGCAAACAAGCACGAGCATGTGTTTAATATATAGAGGCCTATTACAATCCAATGACCTTACTTTTGGCGATGCTTCAGCAATCACTTTCAGCATATTGCGATTCTTGCTAACATAGGCCTAATCACAGTAATAATCATGAACGAGCGAGAACAAATTTCTTTAGCGAACATGAAAAAGAACTACATCTTCTTTAGAAATATTGTAAATGTGTTTTATATTTAAGTTTTAAACAAAAATTTTCATGTAATTTTTTAAGAATTCAGACAATGCTTGGAGTCTCTTTTTTCAAATTCCGAAAACGTCCCCTATTTGTTATACATATAGTCCATTGTGCGGGAGTTAGTGTAATATTTTATTCTGAAGATTGCTACTCGGCCATTCTGAACTGATGTTTTGTTTATAAATATATGAAATGGTTTTTACATTCCTCTTTATATACACCCGCATTATTATCATTATTGATATTATTATCATTATTGATATTATTATCATTATTGATATTATTATCATTATTGATTATTATCATTATTGATATTATTATCATTATTGATATTATTATCATTATTGATTATTATCATTATTGATATCATTATCATCATTGATATTATTATCATTATTGATATTATTATCATTACTGATATTATTATCATTACTGATATTATTATCATCATTGATATTATTATCATTACTGATATTATTATCATTATTGATATTTTTATCATCATTGATATTATTATCGTTATTGATATTATTATCATTATTGATTATTATCATTATTGATATCATTATCATCATTGATATTATTATCATTATTGATATTATTATCATTACTGATATTATTATCATCATTGATATTATTATCATTATTGATATTATTATCATTATTGATATTTTTGTCATCATTGATATTATTATCGTTATTGATATTATTATCATTATTGATTATTATCATTATTGATATCATTATCATCATTGATATTATTATCATTATTGATATTATTATCATTACTGATATTATTATCATCATTGATATTATTATCATTATTGATATTATTATCATTATTGATATTTTGATCATCATTGATATTATTATCGTTATTGATATTATTATCATTATTGATTATTATCATTATTGATATTATTATCGTTATTGATATTATTATCGTTATTGATATTATTATCATCATTGATATTATTATCGTTATTGATATTATTATCATTATTGATTATTATCACTATTGATATTATTATCGTTATTGATATTATTATCATTATTGATATTATTATCATTATTGATATTATTATCATTATTGATATTATTATCATCATTGATATTATTATCATCATTGATATTATTATCATTATTATTATCTGTAAAAATTCGAATAAAATCTTTTTAATTCATGAATAGATTGCCTTAATCATAGATCTGTAAGCCGCTGCCTCAATCCTCCGCCGTCTGTCAATGTTGATCAGTTTAAGCCGCCGTCATTTTTCAACTATCCTCCGACTGAAATGTCAGTCAGGCTTGTCACAACATGCTTACAGGTCTACTGACAGTGGCGTTGCTAGGAAACACCATGTGAGGGGTCTAGCGGGGGCCACACAATTTTCCAGTTGGGGCGGGGGGACATCGGGGGATATGTTTATTTTTTTACTACGTAAATTGATAAATAAAAAGGAGAAATAGGGGGGGGGGGCAAACCCGAGCCAGCCTCTTTAGTCAAAGTATGCCCTGTATCAGATTGGAAATGGGTGTGATGATGGAAAAGCTGGTGGTGTATCTTACGAGTAAGATCTGAATATTAATATTTCAATTTCTATTAGATTAGCCCTTTTGGGACCTTATTTCGTTGTCAGATTGCGGCTTAGTCGGAAACATCTGCCTCTTTTCCAACCTCTGATGGATCTTTGACAGTTGTCAGCTGGAGTGGAGTCAGAAAGAAGATACTATTAATTGGGATGTGTTAATTATGAAGTTGTGATAGAACCGGAGACATGACATAAATGGTGTAGGGAGAGGATGATGGTATTACTGAACAAAAAGCATTCGTCTTTCCAAATATATTTGGATTCTGCAAATTCGAGATATCCAAATAGGTTTAAAACCATCGCACCTGCGGAGATCCCATTTAATAGGGAATTTATTTTATCTTAACACCAGCCGACATCATATCCAAATAATTATCAGAGGCTGGAATAGTGACAGATGTTCCAGTCTAATTGCGGTTTAGAGAGGGTGTCAGTTTATTTCCTGCTAAATATTATTTAGTGATTCGGTCGGGACTTTTTCAAATATATCGGTTTATAATCTTCAGTTGTGGTATCTTAGAACACTAGTAATAACGATTGTGTTTTTTGAAGCTTCTTTCGAAGAATGCAAACATTAAGACATAAAACTCGTCTTTGATACTTATACAAGAATAATCTCACGTTTATACCCAACGATCCCGTTAAATTCAGAGACATAATCTAAACTATCATTTAACAGCCATGCGCAGAAGGCAGTAAACAGTTAGATAAGATCGATCCAGACACTATTGACAACTAGATTTATCACTACAATTATTCTCTCGCATTGATCGAGTCTAAATTGGTTTAGTTAAAGAAGAAATAGTCTTGTAACAAGATTCTATTTTCTATTCTAACAATAAAGACAAGGAGGCTACAAGTGAACATGGTCGCATACAGCTATTACTGTCACTAAAACTAGAATAAATACGACTCTCTCAACAGCTTCTGTTCTGTTTCGTTTTGCAAGAAATGTCGGTATGCTTCATTGGTGACATGGTTAAACCTCAAATGGTACCGCTAGCCAGCACGTTCTTTCAGCAACGGTATACGACTTTTATCACATTTACACGTTTAAGATAGGAGTTGATTATGTGCAAAAGGTTAAAATTTTTTAATGCCGTTCTGGCTACACTTGCCTCATTTCAAATCGCACGTCATCGTCGCTTCTTACTTACTTCTTACTAGAGCAAAACATTAAGTGAATCATTTTAATGATATTGGCAGAGCAAAAGTAAAACGATGTAGAATGCACAAGGACATTTTCAGAGGTTTTGAAATCCACAAGACATCACCGGAAACTAAAACATCAGTGAATCAGTGGTTTAAAAGAGAAATCGATACGTCAGTTTCAGTTAAAAAGATAAAATCAAAATCGACTGAATAAATTATAGTTAACTTAACGTCTAATCAACTCTTTTTTCTGACTTGGAAAATCTGGAGGCCTTAATTTCTCACTCGATCGATCTCATTCTATATAGTAATTCGGTATGTTTAGCTTTTCTAGATAATCTGTATACAGTGAAATCCCTCGATAAACCGGCATATTTGAAATCCTGGCCGAATCACCCTAAAAACTAACTTCACAAACATTGCTCTATCACTAGAGGTTACGCCTACATGCCTGTGCCTGTGCTTTCGTAACATTGCTTAACCGCAATGTTACAACTTAAAATTCCTACAATCTGTAGTAGAAAATCCTGATCGAAACAATGTCCCAAAGTGAATAACCAGTGGTTTAACCTCTCTAAACTGTCAACTGAAGTCGAGTAAACTGAATCTAGTTCGTGGTTCGCTATTTAAACTGAATCTAGTTCGTGGTTCGCTATTTAAACTGAATCTAGTTCATGGATCGCAATTTAAACTGAATCTAGTTCATAGTTTGTTTTTTAAACTGAATCTAGTTCATGGTTTGTTATTTAAACTGAATCTAGTTCGTGGTTCGCTATTTAAACTGAATCTAGTTCATGGTTCGCTATTTAAACTGAATCTAGTTCATGGTTCGTTATTTAAACTGAATCTAGTTCATGGTTTGTTATTTAAACTGAATCTAGTTCATGGTTGGTTATTTAAACTGAATCTAGTTCGGGGTTCGCTATTTAAACTGAATCTAGTTCATGGTTTGTTATTTAAACTGAATCTAGTTCATGTTGGTTCGCTATTTAAACTGAATCTAGTTCTTGGTTCGTTATTTAAACTGAATTTAGTTTTTGGTTCGTTATTTAAACTGAATCTAGATCTTGGTTCGTTATTTAAACTGAATCTAGTTCATGGTTTGTTATTTAAACCGAATCTAGTTCATGGTTCGTTATTTAAACTGAATCTAGTTCATGGTTTGTTATTTAAACTGAATTTAGTTATTGGTTCGTTATTCAAACTGAATCTAGTTCGTGGTTCGCTATTTAAACTGAATGTAGTTCTTGGTTCGCTATTTAAACTGAATCTAGTTCATGGTTCGTTATTTAAACTGAATCTAGTTCTTGGTTCGTTATTTAAACTGAATCTAGTTCGTGGTTCGCTATTTAAACTGAATGTAGTTCTTGGTTCGCTATTTAAACTGAATCTAGTTCATGGTTCGTTATTAAAACTGAATCTAGTTCATGGTTTGTTATTTAAACTGAATCTAGTTCATGGTTCCTTGGTTCGCTATTTAAACTGAATCTAGTTCTTGGTTCGTTATATAAACTGAATCTAGTTCTTGGTTCGTTATTCAAACTGAATTTAGATCATGGTTCTTTGGTTCGTTATTTAAACTGAATCTAGTTCTTGGTTTGTTATATAAACTGAATCTAGTTCCTGGTTCGTTATTCAAACTGAATCTAGTTCGTGGTTCGCTATTTAAACTGAATCTAGTTCGTGGTTCGCTATTTAAACTGAAGCTAGTTCCTGGTTCGCTATTCAAACTGAATCTAGTTCTTGGTTCGCTATTTAAACTGAATCTGGTTCATGGTTCGTTATTTAAACTGAATCTAGTTCGTGGTTCCTTGGTTCGCTATTTAAACTGAATCTAGTTCATGGTTTGTTATTTAAACTGAATCTAGTTCATGGTTTGTTGAATCTAGTTCATGGTTCACTATTTAAACTGAATCTAGTTCATGGTTTGTTATTTAAACTGAATCTAGTTCCTTGTTGTTATTTAAACTGAATCTGTTTCTTGGTTGTTTTTTAAACTATATCTAGTTCCTGGTTGTTATTTAAACTGAATCTGGTTCTTGGTTGTTATTTAAACTGAATCTGATTCTTGGTTTGTTATTTAAACTGAATCTGGTTCTTGGTTGTTATTTAAACTGAATCTAGTTCCTGGTTCCTTGGTTTGTTATTTAAACTGAATCCAGTTCATGGGTTGTTATTTTAACTTAATCTAGTTCTTGGTTTGTTTTTTAAACTGAATCTAGTTCATGGTTTGTTATTTAAACTTAATCTAGATCTTGGTTTGTTATTCAAGATGAATCTAGTTCATGGTTCGTTATTTAAACTGAATCTAGTTCTTGGTTCGTTATATAAACTGAATCTAGTTCCTGGTTTGTTATTTAAACTGAATCTAGTTCTTGGTTTGTTTTTTAAACTGAATCTAGTTCATGGTTTGTTATTTAAACTGAATCTAGTTCATGGTTCGTTATTTAAACTGAATCTAGTTCTTGGTTCGTTATTTAAACTGAATCTAGTTCTTGGTTCGTTATTTAAACTGAATCTAGTTCATGGTTCGTTATTTAAACTGAATCTAGTTCTTGGTTCGTTATTTAAACTGAATTTAGTTCATGATTTGTTTTTTAAACTGAATCTAGTTCATGGTTTGTTATTTAAACTGAATCTAGTTCATGATTTGTTTTTTAAACTGAATCTAGATCTTGGTTTGTTATTCAAGATGAATCTAGTTCATGGTTTGTTTTAGAATGTAGTTATTTATTTGAACTAAATCAACTTGTTACTTGCCGTAACATTCAAGTTTATGAATGTATCGTTATATAGTTTTTGAGATCTCATTATAGTCCATAACTTGACATGATTTGAATATTCATTCACAAGTTTCTGTAGACGGCTAATCTGGAGATTTGTCCCATAGAATGACCAGACGTTTGTACGATGTAAGCCTTGTCGACAATAATACAATAGACTGAATTAGTAGTTAGTTGTTCATCAAGAAGAAAACAAGTCCACTTGATAAATTACTTGTCAACTCTAAGCGGAAAGTTTTCTTTGTTTTCAATCCATTCTCTTGATTTCTTTCTTCACTTAGTCGTGGGTTAGACTTGGTTAATTGGTCTGGAGCAAGGTTGCTGTTCGTCTTTAACCTGTTAGCACTCGAAATTATTGTTTTAACTTATCTTTTGTAGACAGACTCGCTCCACTAAAACATTTGATGTAAATGATTGTATACGAATGTAGTCTGTACTATGTTCCTCTTTTTTTTCAGACACTATTAGTATTGGCCAGGCTTTCATGTGACATATTGGAAAGTTTTCGACAAGATTTCTGGAAAAAGTTAAAGAAGGTTGAATTACATGGAGAGTGATTGTCCAATGATTTTCTAGAGTGAGTTCAGACGGGGCATGGCCTAAATATTTCAGTCGGTGAGTGAGTCTTTATCAATCATCGGAAGACATGACAATCTTCGAAAGACACTGTTGACAATATATAATGTAGAAGGGACAAGACGTGGTCAAGACAAAGTCCAAATGTCTTAATCAGATCTATAATATAAGGGCCAAGACCTATCCATCTTCCCAAGCGTCCACATCAGTCCTCTTTACTTAAACATGACCGGCTTCAAACGACACTTTAGACAATGTGTGCAGGCATACGCGGCACAATGCAATGGTCCTATTATTTAGCTATGACATGGCAACCTCAGAAGTCAAAAGCCCTGAATTAGAACTTGAAATCAGAAATGTTTTAATGGGACGACTATGTCTATTACCATTGTATTCAGGACATTTTGGAAATCCAAACGCTTTTGATTGTAATTTATCTGCTTCCATTTTTGTAGAAATAGGACAATTTAAAACGAACATAAGATTTCTCTCGTGGATTAACACCCAGCACAAAACACTAGGAATCGTTCTACCAGTCAGTGTGTAAAGAACGAACTAGGTGAGATATATTGATTATATTTCTATGTTTCAAGAATAATTAACCACTGTTAGGTTTGACCCTAGATCTTAGGTCAGACAACTAAACATCATCATGGTATTCAATACAATGTAGATACAAATAACTACCTCGTAATTCTTATTATTCTATGACTTACTTAAAATGAGTCACATCATTGCCAAGAATATGTACGATTTTGGAAATGAAATGAATGGAGTTTTACGTCCTACTTTTCTGCACCATGTGGGCTAATGAGGACCTACAACGCCATGCAGGGTGCAATGAGGGAAATTTTGCCAGGACATCTGCATTAGCCTGCTCTTTTTCGATTTCCTACTGATGAGGGATCTTTAACGTGCACAGTCTGTAGCATACGGAGCCTCGGTTTATTGTCCAATTGTTTATTTTTTCCATGTCAGCCCTTACCTGCATCATTGACAATTGGAAACCGGTTTGAAAAATCCGAAGGTATTATCTCGACCTATATCGAGTGTTGTAGGTGTGAGTTGCGTTTTGTGTAGTACGTCTATTATATCTCTACAGTTGTAAAAAGGCAACTATCGGTATTTTCTGGGGTTGATTGGAGTCCTGAATATGGTCATGTAAATAGTCTTCAAATAGTACTATAACTCCCCTTATGGGGTGCGTGAGGGTTTGTGTGTGGAAGAGGGAGAGGGGGGAGGTCATGCGTTCTGCATAGTAAGTCTGTTGTATTTTGTTTGTCTTTATTCATGGGTATAGCAATCGTCATAATCCATTCAAATGCACCACACACAAGATATACTATTTCTATCTTCACTGTTTTCTCCCCTGTCAAATATTGCATGTCGACACGAACTTTAAAAGGAATTATGGTTGCTGCATTCGCTGGTGGAATGGTTTAACTAAATCAATGTAACTTTCACACGCCGATAGTTATGGATACACATGAAAAAGATGACTTAAAACTGCGACGGTTTACTATTACTAATTTCCGTTTCTGAGACTAAGGCATGATTGATCGAACGGATGGTGAACGTGTCCCTTTAAATTCTAATATGACAATGATTTTTTTCTTATGTAATGATATTTGTGGGTAATAAACGAGCAATATATTAAGATATACAGCTAGGTGGTGCGGATAATTATAAAGACATACATGAATATCAAATTTCGACAAAAGCAATTAACACTATTGCCATTATTCTCAGTTAAAGACTTCTGAGGCTAAGGTACAATTGATTGCAATAATGGTAAACGTGTCCCTTTAAATTCTAATATGACAGGGATTTTTTCTGGTGTAATAATATTTCTGGGTAATAAACGAGCAATATATTAAATTTTTGATTAACGTCCATTGCTTGACTGAGTTTTACTGATACTGTAGTATGATATTTCTAATCATACCATTGATTTATTGCTTCTCAATGATGTCATACGACTTGTGATGTTGACCCAGTTATTGGTTAGACTATGAGAAGCACCACTATTCCAATAGGCATAGGAACAGACGATTTAGAGCAGTGGTTCCCTACCTATCTCAACCCTTGGAGAAATCACCTGGACCTTTCACACCCTAAAAATTATTTCATCCACATTTTCAGTATGTGATGATGTGAGGTGCTCTCTCAATTCAAATTCTACTCCTACTGGAATTGGCCACCCCTGACACCCGTGGGATGATTTAGACGAATGGTTGGAGTAGAGGTCTGAGAATAATACTTTATTCGTGCAACTGGGAAAATAGTAATGTATTGCCAAAAAAATGTTATCTCTAATGGCTGCAATTCTAGATTCCAACACTGGGGATGTTTGCAAACAAAGAGAATTAGATCTTTCGACGCATTATTACATGGATTAGATCCTCTTTTATAATTGATATACTTCCTAATATTAAAAGCTCATTAGCTACTATCAATGTATTGCTACAATTATATTGTTTAAGATTACGGGTTTCGCTTTGAGATTAGTACTTGTTTTATCTAGGCGAACAGGCACCACAGTAGTCGCAAATTCCATCCGTGCGACTGTCAGACCTCTCGTCCATTTCATTCCTACTGATACAAGTACATCGTTCAAATGTTTTTATTCTCCAGTGACATCTAAATTTCATTAGAACTACGATGTTTTAGCACCTATACGGTTAAACATTGATAATTTCAAATTCATTTAAAAAAAAAAACTAAGTGAGTTGTAAGAAATTTTTTTATCTCAAGATTTTATTTGTTTGTTTTACCACATTTTTGCAATTTAGAAACTTTTGCTCTGAAACGATGCAAATTCATCTTATTGTACAGAAATAAAGTCCTGAATGAGAGATAGCAAGTCTTGACTGAGATAGCAAGTCCTGTTGAAAGATAGGTCCCAATTTAGAGCTTAATTTTGACTACGAAAAACAGGTCCTGGTTTTTAGATAACAAGTCGTCCTGATGTGAGAATACAAGTCCTGATTATGAGATAGCAATAACTGACTATGAGATGGCAATAACTGACTATGAGATAGCAATAACTGACTATGAGATAGCAATAACTGACTATGAGATAACAGTAACTGGCTATGAGATAGCAATAACTGGCTATGAGATAGCAATAACTGACTATGAGATAGCAATAACTGACTATGAGATAGCAATAACTGACTATGAGATAACAATAACTGGCTATGAGATAGCAATAACTGGCTATGAGATAGCAATAACTGACTATGAGATAGCAATAACTGGCTATGAGATAGAAATAAATGACTATGAGATAGCAATAACTGACTATGAGATAGCAATAACTGACTATGAGATAGCAATAACTGACTATGAGATAGCAATAACTGACTATGAGATGGCAATGACTGACTATGAGATAGCAATAACTGACTATGAGATAGCAATAACTGACTATGAGATAACAATAACTGGCTATGAGATAGCAATAACTGGCTATGAGATAGCAATAACTGACTATGAGATAGCAATAACTGACTATGAGATAGCAATAACTGACTATGAGATAACAATAACTGGCTATGAGATAGCAATAACTGACTATGAGATAGCAATAACTGGCTATGAGATAGAAATAAATGACTATGAGATAGCAATAACTGACTATGAGATAGCAATAACTGACTATGAGATAGCAATAACTGACTATGAAAAAGTACTGAGAACATGACCTGGCTTTGAGATAACAAGTCTTGACTATGAGATAACAAGTCTTGACTATGAGATAAGAAGTATTGGCTATGGGATAACAAGTACTGACTATGCGATAACAAGTACTAGCTATGAGATAACAAGTACTGACTATGCGATAACAAGTATTGGCTATGAGATAACAAGTACTGACTATGCGATAACAAGTATTAGCTATGAGATAACAAGTACTGACTATGCGATAACAAGTACTAGCTATGAGATAACAAGTACTGACTATGCGATTACAAGTTTTTACTTTGAAACAATGGCTGAGATATTACATTATAATCGTGTGGTAAGATTAATAATCTTGTTATTAAGATATGTATCTGTGATATGTCAACTTAACACGTTTTCTAAATCATATTTCGGTACGTCTATCTGCAATACCAAGCAATCGAAGAACGGCTCATTTGAAACTTCCAACTATATATTATATATTATATTTTCAAATTCAACAGTGCATTTAGATATGAACTCAAGCAATAAAGCTATTTGACAATGAAATTAGGTTACCATAAAACTTGAGGAAATATTGAGCGAGAACATCTCTAATCACATTATAATGTGTTACTTTATCGATTATTTTAAATACACGAATGCATATTTTACAACATTTGACACTAGCTGTGTGTTTTACAGTTTTATGGTGAAGTTATATTGATGACTCAACTAACAGAAAGCAACAGGCTGAAAGATTTGCTGTCACAAATTCATCTTGATATAGTAATGTTGATAAATGAATTCCTTGACACGAATTTAGTTATATCAGCACAGTGAGCCGAATACAAGCAAAACTTCATCGTTTAAGCACGTCCGAAACTGAAGTTTCTATCCGGCTTGCTTCCCTTTAGAATTTACCTGGTAAATGGGACCGAGATATAAACAACAATATATGAGTAAGGGCATCCAGGGGCGATTCTAGAAAACATCAGGTAAGGGGGTCGAGCAGAAAAATTTCCCCGGGGGAAGGGGGTGGGGGGGGGGCGTCACAGATCATTCTCTCAATATGTGAAATGATAAGAAAATTGAGATGGAGGTGCAGGGGAGATAGGGGGATGGTTGGGGTGGGCAAGATACCATGAATGGAACCGTCTTAATTTATTGGCATCCTAGAAAGGTCTACAGATGCAGCTGAAATAGAACGTACCCAACAAAAAGAAACTGAAGATCACGACATCTGGTTTTGCTCATGAACATCGTTCAAAAACCAAGGCAAGCAGGCAGGCAGGAAGGCAGGCAGGCAGACGTGATTGTTCGGAGGGGCAAGTAATATATCCGGAGGGGCAATGGTGTTTGATGTCTAGTTATAGTAATAGAATTGGTCAGTAGTTTTCGAATTTTTTCGAAGGGCAATGCATTTTTTCAGAGGAGGCATTGCCTCCCCCCCCCCCTCTTTCTCATCACTCTCTCTTGCCCCCTAGGAGCTACGGGTCTGAACCAGGGTATTAATTTTGGTCGACTTAATACAGCTGAAAGTCAGATTTGATAATTTGGTAGATTGCAGACGGGTCCACTGTAAGTCATCGACCTGTTTACAGTAATATAGTCTGTTTCTAGTACAAGGGAAGTAATATTATAAAATAATAATTAAATTCAGAACAACTTCAAGAGAGACAATCCACGTTCTAAATTCAAATCACAATAAAGTAGAAAATCAAATTAGCCTGATTTACCATTTCTTTGGTACGCTTCGTAGGCTCAGGTAACTGATTCACAAGTTAGAAGACAGCAACATAGGTAGAATAGGTGCGGGTACAAAAGGAGAAGTGCGGACCCGACCAGATCTAACGAAGAATCAACAACCAAATAACCAACAACATAGAATCATCCAATTTGAACCAATCCAACTACCAACTACTACGACTACCAACAACTACCTGGTTTGCGATATCAGCAGCGGCTAGAAGCGCACGTAAACTACCTACCTACCTATCTAAAATGGCGTCCTTCGGTAAGGGGTGTAGGGGATTTGTGTATATATGTTATATAACTGTAGGGGAATGATTATAATTGATTGTAGAGGAATCATTCAGTGTCTATCTCGAATCACTCACTGTCTCAAGCCGCGAATAGACGAGGTACGGTGTCCGGTGCGTTGTACGGGCCGGAATAATTAGTACAAACGAAAATAGAAGAAGTGAACACACGAGGTATGGGTTCTTCTATTTTCTACTATCTCGATAATCCCGCACCGAACACCATACCTTTGGCCTACAGTTTGTCTTTCAGTAGACGTTTTGGATAACTTAGACCTAAATGCAATTAATACCACGCCACCGCCTGAAAACATTGCATTCATACATTCATTCAGCGTTAATAGCAATTGTTTAATCAGAATGATTCTACTGATCCAGAACAATGAGAAATGTTGCAACACTCACAATATAAGATCCCAGACCAGCCTGGCAACGTGTTAGAATGATTTTCCTGGAGTTCTAGATCCAAGTTAAAACAATAATCAGCATATCCATCGACCATTTAGCGGCATAACTCTGTTAAGGGGGTTGTAAAAAGGTTTTCTAAAATTTTAGTGGAATTACGCAAACCAAAGTGCAAATTTATGCTTTCAGTGTACATGTATGGTATTTTACATTTGTGTTTTATATTTTGATATGTTTGTTCATTCAATGTTTGGGCTCAATTGTAAAAAGGCCTTTATGCCTAATTATTAGCCACATAAAGAATTTATTATTTATTATAAGTGTCTCCGATACATATGAAAAACTAAGAAAAACTCTTTACAATCCCTTTAAGCTGGCCAAGAGAATTGGGTCATAATTGATTAAAGAAAGGGTCACGCTGTGTTTGAAACTAGGGTATATATTGAGTAATATTCAGCAATTAAAAATCTCAGAATGGTTCTGTCACGCTTGTCTAGAACTTGATATCTATCCAAATAATACAATTACTCATGTAGATAAAAGATATATGGTAATGGTGAAAATTTAAATACATCATTTTATTGGTGAATAGATAATCTCTGGAGACTTCTGGTGGAAACATGGCAAGTCGTCTGGTCCAGTCTCTAGGGGCAAATAACTCATAATAATATATTACCTATATTCATTATAGAATTATATTACTGAATAGATTACCGTGGCTACCAGACTAATATCTTAATCCCATTCTATGTGCTGTCGGTCACCTGGTTAAATTAATGACAGACACAAATATGAAATAATTATTCACTGCGGCCAATTCTCTCGACTTAGTAAGTCCTTAAATTTTGTTGTTGAAAACAACTGCGTCTCAAGAAAGTAGTATAACTATAAGAAATAAAAGTTTGCACGTTAGCGAATACAATTAATCATAGCCCTCAATTACATGGACTTCCAAATTGTTTACAGTAGTTCTGTCGAGCGCTGTGATTGGCTGAATTCGCTAGCGAACAATCCAATCAAATCTCCGCATATATTAGCCTAAGATCTGTGATACTAGAAAGGTGGCTATTGTAGTCAAGGTGTTTGACGCATTTCCTTTTATCTCGACATTGTGAACGTGACAGAGAAGTAGAGAAAACGGAACGATCGACTATGACTAATTATTAATTATTCCTGGTCTTTAAACTTTTTTTTTACGATGATCGTCAAAGGTTAAACAAAATTAAGAAATCACCAATAAGCAAGTAAGGATCGTGTTTAAGCTTTACACACATAGCCCTGCTTCTCTCCTTAGCACCCAGCATATATCGGGTGTTCCAAAATAAAACGTCCCAAAGTTCGACGGGTCTTATCTTACAGATATACTTCAAGATGTCGTTGTCTAACCCTTAAAATATGAAAATCATCCAATAAAAATTGTACAAGTACTGCCCCGAACACAATATCATGTCAAAAATGCAATATGGGGACACCCGATATACATTATCTCTTGATTGTCCACAGTGGCGGTGCCACAAGGGGGGGCGACCGCCCCCCCCCCCCTCGCAGCCCCGAAGGCTAGTTATTCGGGCAAGGCATTAAAAAAAAAATTTTTTTGAACGGCCCAATTTTATTTATTTTTTTTTTGGAATTCAAAAATGAAATCATATCTTTGCCCGAATAACCTATCCTGTAACTGTATTTTTTTTAAATTGATAGCCCGAAAGTATTCTCCTATAATAATATCTCATAATTCATATTATTTAAGGATCGAAATCACTGCCCCAATGTCATTCGTATGATTATGATTTAACATATTTCAAAAATTTAAATCGCAGCCCGAAAGTAGAGTTTAGAACTTTTAGGTTTGTCATACTTGTTATCCCAACAGAACTGGCCCTGCCAGTTGCTCCGAAGTGATATACCCATGTGATATCCTCACGGTTAGGGCAAGATTACTTTTTATTGGAGTTGCTCTGATCCATTTTCAGATCGTTACTTTTTTGAATATTTTCACTATAACAAAAGCCAAAGGTTCAAATTTGTCGTGACAGATATTTGTAAACGCAAGTAGTTGATGATGGCACCCACTCATGCTTGTTGAAATGAAATGAAATGAATGGAGTTTTACCTCCTACGACATACATAGATATACAAATATTATGGTGAGGTACGTGACAATGGAATAGGATAATGTAACATGTAATACACATCTAAGATAATTGTCTATATCAGCGGATAGAGCTTCATTTTTAAACTTCTTAAAAGGTGCGTCTCGCGTTTCAATATACCTTTGTACTTGATATGCATTGGGCACAATATTAACAGTGAAAAATCTTAGAATGCAATAAATAGCAAAGAAATTCAAATGTAACATTGCAATATCTTTACTCATACCATATGAATTTCACATACTCCGTAATGCAACAAGCATCATGTTTAATGTAACATAGCACACCAAACATAACATTTATAAATATATTAAAATTCTGTAAAGCAACAATTATGGACGCAATAATGATATAACAACTCACAATAACTCATGTTCTCTCTACAGTATACTTCTGTAATCCGACATGCCCTGGGACCATATAAATATGTCTGATTTTGTTTTCAATTATTAAAATGATTTCAAAATTAATATTCAGCTTAAATAATCGTTTTCACATAAATATTCACTTGTTTTTGAATAACTATGTTTTCAGTGTATATATTTAGTTGTTTTTGAATAATTATCCAGTTGTTTGGAATAAATATCAAGATGTTTTAAATAAATATCCAGTTCCTTTTGAATAAATATCCAGTTGTTTTTGAATAAATATCAAGCCGTTTCTGAATAAATATCAAGCTAAATGAATGTCAAGTTATGCAGTTGTTTTCAAATAAATATCTAGTTCTCGTGTCTGAATAATATATCCAGTTGTTTTTAATAATATATCCAGTTGTTTTTAATAATATATCCAGTTCTTTTCAAATGAATATCCATTTGTTTTTTGTATAAATATCCATTTGCTTTGAATAAATATCCATTTGTTTTTGAATACATATCCGTTGATTGAAATAATTATCCAGTTGTTTTGAATAAATATCCAGTTGTTTTTAAATAAATATCCAGTTATTACTGAATAAATATCCAGTTATTACTGAATAAATATCCAGTTATTTTTGAATAAATATCCAGTTATTTTTTGAATAAATATCCAGTTGTTTTTGAATAAATATCCAGTTGTTTTTTAATAAATATCCAGTTATTACTGAATAAATATCCAGTTGTTTTTAAATAAATATCCAGTTGTTTTTAAATAAATATCCAGTTGTTTCTGAATAAATATCCAGTTGTTTCTGAATAAATATCCAGTTGTTTTTGAATAAATATCCAGTTGTATTTGAATAAATATCCAGTTGTTTTTAAATATATCCAGTTGTTTCTGAATAAATATCCAGCTGTTTTTAAATAAATATCCAGTTTTTTAAAATAAATATCCAGTTGTTTTTAAATAAATATCCAGTTGTTTTTAAATAAATATCCAGTTGTTTCTGAATAAATATCCAGTTGTTTCTGAATAAATATCCAGTTGTTTCTGAATAATTATCCCGTTGTTTTGAATAAATATCCAGTTGTTTTTGATAAAATATCCAGTTGTTTTTAAATAAATATCCAGTTGTTTTTAAATAAATATCCAGTTGTTTCTGAATAAATATCCAGTTGTTTCTGAATAAATATCCAGTTGTTTCTGAATAAATATCCAGTTTTTTTTAAATAAATATCCAGTCATTTTCTATTTGACGACAGAATTAGTGTTTAATGTCCAAAGGAATGTTCCTGTTTTTAAAACCAAATCTAGCTAGTACACTTGATATTTCTAGTATCCCGAGATATATTTTAAATTTATAAACTTTCCATGGATAAAATTGTCACATGAAAACAGAAGCCACCATTTTTGTTTGCAGTCAATACTTCTATAAATATCCAGTTGTTTTCAAGATTTCAGCAGCTAGACTTGTCATACTGACATCAGCATGTGAACTGAAATGGATGAAAATCAAAACAACATCATAAAGAGTAATCACATGTAAATTCTACATGTTGGTTCGTAAAATATCTAAGATAAATCAAAGTTATACCATCAAACAGGCCTTGAGCTGAGGCCCTACCATCCAGCCAGTGCAAGATATATGAGTTTTAAACAGTTCGAAATTCAACCATTTCAACTCTAAAACTGAGGGTTTTTCACCTTCTACAGAAAGTTTGAAAATAAGAAAAACTATATAATATTACCTGGCTGTTTGTACCAGAGATTTGATAGTATTAGCCAATACCTCACCATTTACTTTCATCTTCTCACTATGTTTAGGATCTGTTCCAACCTGTTTATTTTTTTAAAAGATACATACCATTTTAAATATACCATTAGTGATAAAATGTAATATCTATTAAAAACATTTTTTAATACAAATAAACTTATTTTAGTATTTCGATTTTTAATTAAAGTATTTGTCTGTTAACAGTTCAGGACAATAAGAAAAATCTAAATAAGAATAATTAGCTAAATTGTACCTTCAAAGAATTGACTAAAGCAGTTCGAAAAAATATATTAAATAATTCCCTTACCAGTCTTTTAATAACACGAAGTAAAATTTTCTGTTTTTTAACATCAGCTTTCTTCAAAGCATTACTGTAGTACTCCTGTAACACAGAGAACATATCATCAAAAAATATAACAAAAGGGAAAGTATGAGCAAATTTAAAGAGTATATAACAACATATTGATATCTTAGCCATAATGAAGAGTTGGATTAAAAGATAATGGAAAAAAATGTGAAAATTATACTTCAAATTATCTATAATCAAATGTCACAAAAATTTCCCCTTCTTTTATACTCAATTTTTCAACAATTTATGTTGTCATCATCAAATACAATTTTCACCACGTGATGGCAATGTAAATTGTTGAAACGTTGTATACATTAAAACCTAGCAGTAGTATACCATATAAACTGATGATGACAATGTAAATTGTTGAAACGTTGTATACAATAAAACTCAACAGTAGGATTGAGTTCCATTATTTAATGTGCTCTCTACCCTTAAATATCACTTAAAGATTACTCCTGTTGTCTTATCTGACATTGATAAAAAAACATAAATTAGCACAATTAACTCTACATAATGTATTATTATAAATGAAATAATATATTACCATATTTTCAGTTGACATAGCATCTTTATGTTCACCACCATATAGCTGTACTAATAATGATAAGCTCTTGATAGCTATTTCATAGATATCTGTATCTTCATAACATAGCTATAAACAAAAACCGAATTTACCAATACATAAATATCAACTCGAATTTAATAGTTAAATTTGGATGTGAAACACAGGTAGAAATCAGATCAGCCTACACAGGCTTTTATTAATGTTTCTTACATTGGTATAGTGCCAGATAGTCATTTTGATATGTGCTATGCTTTAGAAAATATTAACATGAATATAAAGGTATTGTTGAGTGTCATTTGCGATTAGTGAAATCATCAAACACTTAGTTTTAGTGAAATTGCAGGAACCATAGACTTCTGACTGCATATACATAGAAAATTCATAAAACCTCTTTACACTGCCTATAAGTCAGAATAGATTTAACAGAAATTACTGATACTTACTAGTTGTGTTAATACAGAAGTTAAATCTGTCAGAGGTTTGTTAAACATCAGTAGTTTCTCTGCCCATTCTGCCTCCTTCCCAGCTGATGTCGTTCCACTTTTCTTGGCCTGGTGTAGAAAATTAATTCTATCAATATAATAACAAGTTGCTTTCATTTTTAAAACAGAGCATTATTTCTGTCATTGGATCTTTCTCATGTTAAATTTCATAACAATGCCAAATTCGAATCTAAATGAAATGAATGGAGTTTTACGTCTAACTTTTCTGCACCATGTGGGCTAATGAAGACGTTCAGCGTCATGCAAGGTGCAATGAGGAAAGGTGGCCAGGACAGTGGCATTAACCTGCTCTTTTTCAATTTCCAACTGTCGAGGGATCTTTAATGTGCACAGCCTGTAGCACACAACATTGACAGAGGGAAATCCGAAGGTATTATCTCGACCTATGCCGTGATTGAACTTTGGACCTTCAGGTTAGCGAGCAAGCATCTAACTCACTGAGCCACAGCAGCTCCCAAATTCGAATCTAAAGATTTGCAAATTCAAGATGGTGAAAAAAATAACAAAAACATGCATTGAATCTAGAAAATAGAGTCGTTGGTGTCAGAGGACATTAGAACAAGTCCAATTTTTATGAATTTGTCAAAAAATCATGACGAAACTGGACATAAATCCACAACTGAATTCATATCATCTGTTGAAGACAACAACAAAATTTTGTCAGAAACTTTAACAATATTGATAAAAATCTCATGTATTATGCTGGAAGGCTATATAGAGACAATAATCTAACCTGTAAAGCTTTGCGTACAATATCTGAGACATATTTTAATATATTATACAATGTTTCTAGTAGAATCTGTAAGGTGGTGTTAGATGCCTTGATATCTTGTCCTGTTTCTTCTCCCAGAAAACATAATGTTGATACTTCAAATACTAGAGAGGTTAGATTATCAATTAAACCTGAAATAAAGAATAAGGTATCATCTTATCATACATACAAATTCTTACAGTAAAATTTTGTAAAAAACTATGGTATTCCTCAATGTAAAATTCAACACTTTTGAGAAACAGGGCTCAAGGATCTGTTTTACAAACAATTGTAAGAGTAATGATTTACAACCACACTTCTGATAGTCCTTATATTATGATTGCATGCATTTCACAAAATTTTCGAAGAGTGGCAACCAATCTTACATTTCAGAGTAGTTGCTCTCATAACTAGCAATGGTTTCGAACTCTGACACTTATTTCTCATGAGCTTTTCAATATTTATCTGGGAGGTGAAATAATTTCCCTCCTACCTTGATCATATAAATCTGATAAATTAGTCTGTTTATTAGATATTAAACAGTTTAAGATACTGATTATATTCTGCATGGTGACACTAGTTGCATTGTTCTGGTGATCCTGAAGTATATCATTAAAGAGACTGTAAAGAGGTTTTCTAAAATGTTTGATGACATCAATTATCACGAAGGGCCTTACTTGATAAAGCATATTTGCGATTAGTGACATCATCAAGTGGAATTGTAGGAACCATAGACATCTGATTGAAAATTGGAATTATGCAAATTATGTGTCCCCGATAGATATAAAAAATCTAGAATATATTTTTACAATCCCTTTAACTCATGTTAGTTATAATATCTTAACACAATTCCATCATTTAACAGCATCAGATAATGTGATACATTTTACTTGGATTTATTTTGACAATCCTTGAACACACAGTTATAATAAACTTAGTTGTTATAATATATTAAATGATAACATCTTAATTCCATAATAATAAGCATCAGATTATGTGATACTTGGATTGTTTATAGTGATCGTAAAAAAAATACGGTTATAATAAAATCATTTCAAGTTATAAATATAGATAGATAAAATCAAAATAATTCATTCATTAAGCTAAACAGACAAATTTGCCAACAAATTGTGAAATTATGAAATGCTGATCAAAATTTGCATTGATTAGCCAATAATGAAAGTTTCTAAATTACTAATCAAATTTTTCAATTTAAATGAAACCCTGGTTTGAATAAAAAAGGAAGATATGAAATATTTTTTACCTGAAGAACTTGAAATATGACTGGCATCAGACCTTGTTGTAGAAATAACTTAACAAAGTTGTTACTCTGTTCTAGTAATGATAATAATAACTTTAATGTATAACTTGGCAGGGGGTCTATATCTAACAGTAACGACTCCATTCTATAAATAGAAATATCAAAGGCTTTATAATTGATGGGGTTATGTAGTAAGCTTTGGTTTTTTACATGATATCATTGGCTTGATATTGTTAAAATAGTGGTTGTGGGTTCAAATCTTAGTCAGCATGTGAAAGTCCAATGTACTTTAATCAAGATACCTGCATTACAAATAATAATATGAAAAGGGTTTTTCATTAAAATACAATTCTTAATCCAGATGTCTGGTGAAGTCTTAAACCCTTTACAAACATTTTTAGTCAAAATAAAATTAACTAATGATTGTATATAAAATGCTCAACTTCAGCTATATCATTATATCATGAAGAAACCTATGATTGAGTGCTTTCTACTTACTGTGATAGAAGATTATTTGAGACTATTTGATGGAGTCTATCACTGTCAACTCGTGTTTCCGATGTGTGACCATATTGATCCTGACTTAAATAAACTGATGTGATTTCTGACAGCAGACGGAGGGAGAGGACTTTTGTATCAACTGAATATAAAATCATGAAAATTTAAATAAGTTTGCACCAGGTTTCACTGATTAACAATCACTGCTTATAACTGTTGATTTGTCATCAATTCTTACCCTGAATATATTTCAAAACTAATAAGAACTGGTGTATTTTGATCTAAAAAGCACAAATGGACTTGATTTATTGTCTTATCGAAGTGACCCTCTTTCCATGTCAGCCCCTCGACCTGTAGCACCTAAAGGGGAATTCAGGATAAAAGATAGCTTGCCAGGCAAAGTAATATACACCCACTGGCAGCTTTGATTTGAAATAAATATATCTTGCAGTACAGTAACAATCACCAGTATGAAATATTCAACCTTCAGTCATACAATTCTTTTGAACTCTTTAGGGTGATACTGAATAATATTGAGTATGAGTTATTGCCCTTGTTCTTGAAAACATGTTCAATATTTAGCTCATGCTAAATAATACTGAATAATAAAACCAAGTTTTGCCAAAATCAGTTTCATTTCATTTCATTCATTTCATGAGGGTGTATAAAAATCAACAGGTAGGCTACTATGTTAGGTCAGGACCTTGAAATTTCAGCTCAGTGGCCTGTCTAGTGGAGCTTTAATCATAAAATTACTGATTACACAATCACTTACCATTTTGAGATTTGATTAATGTAGCTAAGGAGGGTAAAATAGTTTCTATGACAACCTGATGATACTGTATTAGTAATGAAGGATGTTGGGAAATCCCCTCCAATATGGACATGACTGTATTAATAAATTCTGTTGTTCCAATTGCGGCTGAAATCACACAATACAAATATATATACCAAATGCAAACAATTTAGCTATGTGGACTCTCTGAAAAGGATAGCAAAGTGGTATCAGACAATCTAAATATGTGAGCATCAAATTAAAATTCTGACACAGGGGAAGTAGTATCATATTTTGAAATAAACATGTACAATTAAAGACAAGTAAATTTGTCTCACTAAAAGAAGAGACAGTAGTTTTATTTCATTATTTTTTAAAATTATTATGCTGTTACAACATATAGAAGCTAACTAGAATAATAGACATGCAAAGCCACATTTGATATACTTGATTATTAATTGAAAACAAAGAGGTAGAAAGACAAAGCACACAAAGATTATTCATTAATGGGCATCACTTGATTTGCGTTAGAAAAATAAGAAAATTACAGATTGACATAACACCTTTTATTCTTAGACCCTGTTTCTCAAAAACATAACTAAAATATCAATAATTTTTATAAATACAGTCATCCTCTGGAGGAATGATATCAAATCATATTTCCAATTCAATTTTTAGTGATACACCAATCACAGATGAAAGAAACACTAAAATTATCTCCAGTTAAGTTTGAAAGAGACAGGATAATATCATATATATTAATATATCTACAAAGGATAAATGACCCAGCCCTACAATCTATAATGGGAGGGAGTTATATATCATATATACCATACTATTAGCCTACTACATCTACTTAGGATATATATTTCATACTTTACCTCGCATTTTTTCTGTGGAAATTTAAAACAAAAAAATAAAAATGTGCAAAGCTGCGAAAGTTGTGTATGAAAAGATTGATTTTTTTTATCTTAACACACATTTTGTAGAAAAATTAAATTTTTAATTTAGAAAGTGAACAATGAAAGTTGTAAAAGCATTGATGAAAAAATAAAATTATCCAAAGAAAACAAAATACCCTGCGCTGGACAAAAGGTCTCCAGACAAATTGTAACATTCAGGGTAAGCCTTGACTCACATAATTGAGATCAAATATATCAAATCACATAGTATCTTCACAATGTCAAGCTATTAAGAACTTCGTCTTATACTTGACACCTTTGTTGTGTCACAGAAGTTTGTAAATGCAGCCATTTGGTTGGATTGTACGTAAAGGAATACAGTCAATCAGAGGCCTCAACAGAAATTCTGTAAACAATAGGCCAAAATTCTTAGTCTTTATGTCAAGGGCTCTGATTAGTTGTATTCAATTGCGAAACATCCAATCAAATCGCTGCATTCCATAATACTATTGCAATCAAGGTATAAGGCAAAAGTTGTAATAGCTGGACATTGTGAAGATGATCACATGGACAACAATAAAACTATCAAGAATTAATTGAGAGAGTATCATGGCCTACTGACCTGAACTAGCATCAATATTAGTTTCTTTATTTTCTATTTGATTAACATGGCCGAGTAATAAACCTAGATCTTTGATAAATTCTTTATTCACTACTCGACTTCTAAATACCTGAATAATATTAATAAATACATGTAGTTAATATCATTTAGCAACATTTAGGGGTAGAGATCACATTAAATAACGAACACAACTCCATAGTTTTATTGTACACAATGTTTTACCTGCTGATAACAATGTAGATTGTTGAAATGTAGTGTGTAATAAAATTAAGGAGTAGTAAACTATAAATTTGTGTTAATATCTGCCCATGACCACAACTTTTCCAGACCTTCATCCACTATGATGTCTTCCAGGTCTCCCTGTAGCTTTATAAGAGTAGGATAATATCGCTATCTAGGCAAGACTTCCCTCATTGATACAGCATGGTGTTACCGATCTTCTTTAGCCCAATGGCAATAAGGAGAAGAAGAGTAGAACTCCATTCATTTACCCGTAACGATTGAATTTCACGAGATTTGTGTATTGGAAGTAACAGCAACATCTGATTGGCTGAGAGATGTTACCTAATAAAGGTGCAGGTACACGAGAAGCCTTAGTTGGAGATTTTTGTCCCCGACTCGAATCTTGAGTAAAATCGATTATCGTGTCGCCGACAGGATTTGATAAGTTTGATAATTGTCTCCAATAGTTTTATCGTCTGCAAGAGAGACCGTAATCTTCCAATCAGATTCCTTTTCCTTTCAATTGCATGCTCCACACGTGATTATCGAGAGATGTTACCTAGTAACCTACCTGACTAGTAACTAGATGTAACCCTATTGGTAGTAACGGTAATGTAGATTTTAATTGTCTCGTCTGATTGGCTGAGAGATGTTACCTAGTAACCTACCTGACTAGTAACTAGAAGTAACCCTATTGGAAGTAAAGGTAATGTAGATTTTAATTGTCTCGTCTGATTGGCTATGAGATGTTACCTAGTAACCTACCTGACTAGTAACTAGATGTAACCCTATTGGAAGTAACGGTAGTGTAGATTTTAATTGTCTCGTCTGATTGGCTGAGGGATGTTTACGTCCGGATACAGATTCTAACACAGTTAATACCTCCTCTACAAAATAAAAAATATTGAAAAACACCAAATACACATAATGTGGACACTCCAGAGTTTAAATCAGGGTGGAAAAGTAAATTCGTAATGCAACCTCGGAAGATTTTGTACACAATGTTTCAACTCTATAATCTGTACCCTCTTGTGTTCAACACATGAAAAAAATAAAATTGATGAAGATGACGTCATGTGATTTTCAAAATGGCCAATCACACGTTTGATTGTAGCCATTTTATATTGTCTTTTTATTTAGCTGGTTTTTTTTTTTACATTTTCCTTATATCAGTCACTGGGTGAAACTAGGACCATAAATTTGAATTTTGAGTTGACAAAGTGTTAAACATGAATTTAACTTAGTTAAAAATCTTATGCTGGTCTTCATCTAGGATTAAAATAGGATATACTTACTCATAATGCCAGGTAAGGCATCAGTAATATAGTTTATAAATTTATCTAGAGCTTGATTTAAATACTGTACGGAATCAGGACTATCTGACCTAGGATCACGTGGCGTCTGTCGTCTGCTATCTCGCTCTATATACATCACTAATCTGAAATATAATGTCAGGAATATTCAAAGACAATCACAGAACTTAAAGATGGGTTTCCTTATTTTTTAGTGACAAAATAAGCAAACTATTTGATTAATTGGTGTTTCTAATGAATTATCATGTATTCTTAATCATATCATTATGTTCTTATTGCATATAATTAAGAGTTTTAATCAATCATAAATGTCCATGTATGTACAGTCTGAATAAACAAAAAAACACTTTTGACCTTTCTTGATCCTAAATGAAAGTAAGGAGAAAGTTGACTGTTATTGTATATTGCAGCTTTCGAGTCACACAATTTTTGTGTGTAATTTTAAAGGAACTTCCGAAAAGACTGAAGTTTTAATTTAATTTTGATTCATTACTTTTAGTTTTATAGGGCTCTGAAAATGGGTAATTTGCATAAGATAACCAGAAAGTTTTGTTTTTTGGTGTGGTCATTGAACTTTTGACAAGTGTTAGAACATTCTGATTGAGGAAAGACAAGAAACCTACCTGGCATTACAAGCAGAGAGAAGTAAGTCTGAGCTAGATTTAGTTAATTCATGTAAAACCATGAATGCCTTGGCTCGGATTAACGTGGACGGACTTTCAAATAGTCTCATTATCTTCTGTAGGAAATCCTGGAAACATTCAATATAGAAATAATATATTGATATAAGATATTAAAAAAAATATTTTAGTTTGGCAATTTGAGTAAGAAATCAGCTGTAAATTAAATGTGAAATGTGACCTTTTCAACAACCCAACTTCTACCTAAATTTCACTACGAAATGAGGTAAAGTCCCCATTATGAGTTACCTGCCATCACTACCTCAAATGAATTGTTCCTCTGCTTAAAATGAGACATTTCAGTTGCAGCATCATATTGCTCTCTCACCCTGTAAGCTAGTCGTCAAATTTGTCTACAATGAAACTATCTACATGCTAATTTTCCACCATGTTTTTCTCATCTGAACTCTTTTCCAATTTATTCCTCTGCTTAAAATAAGACATTTTCCATTTTGTACAGGCTCCAAATTGATGCCAGCTCAAAGCCCATCTGAGATGAGACCAGACGATTCTAGATGAACCATACCTTATCCTGTAGAAGTCTGTTAATATGAAGCCCTGTACCAATCAGGGCACCAAACATAGTAATAACCGCCTGTTGAACACGAGATATACCCAATGTTAGAGATGATAATATGGTAGTTAAACCAGCTGTATCAATAACATTCTGAAATAACCCTGGACTCTGCCAAATTATTCGACATAATGCCTAGAAAAAAACATATAAATTCTATATTAGAAATATTAGTTGGGGTAAACTTCAGTAAAAGTAGATCAGTTGTCTGAAGATGGCATAGCATGTAACTCTGAGTAAAAACATGATTCAAGTTCTGTTTTAATATTTATTATAAATCATATCAAAATTCACATCTTTCATGTATCAAAGGCCTTTGAAAAGTCACTGTCTGTTGTTAGAGCAGTAACACATCAGACCAGTATATCAAGGGTTATAACTCTGTCAAAGAGAAGCACAGATCTGGTTTTCTAAAAGTGAGACCATACCCTGCCCTGGGGAATCATAAACTGTTAAATACCTACCGTCATGGCCGTACATCTAATAGAGTCGACTGTAGAATGTTTAAATAAATACCATAAAACTTGTCCCATCTCACTATTTAAAAACTTCTATAATATATTATAACATTGTGTAAGTAAGAAACAACGAATTTAGTATTGAATGAGAGACAATACATTATAACCATATAGTAGATAAATGGTTATCTATGATTGGTAAAATGTATTTCAGTTATCCAATGAAAATCCTTATTTGAATAATTTGAATATTCAAAATCAAATGGATATGTAACAAATGTGTGCAAGTATAAATTATAAATAGTGATTATTACTGATACAGTATCTACAGTAGAGAGAGCTCTATTTTCATATTTTGAACACTATTGAGGTATGATAAAGTGGTAAAGAGCTTCCACTTGTAAGGGGGGTGGGGGTAGGGGAACTAGGGGGGAACAGTTTTGCCATTAACTCTACAATTAAATTAAAGAGTTAATAGAAATACTTACCTGTGCTTGTGGACCTTTAATTGAAGTGATATTTTCTACTGTTTTAGCAGCTACATGATTTACTACAGCCTCTTCCTGCAAGTTATATTAGAATAATTATATAGTATAACATAGCATAACATAGCATAACATAACATAACATAGCCTAAAATAACATATCATAACATATCATAATAGCATAACATAATATAACATTTCATTTTAATATATTATAACATAACATAATATTATATTATAACATAACATAACATAAATAGCATAATTTGAAATAACATAGAATAGCATAGCATAACTTTATACTACATAACTAGTTGTGATATCAGTATAAAAAATTGTTTGAAAATCAAGAGGTTTATAATCAATACATATATGTGCAGTTTTGTAGATACAAGAAATGATCCACAACATACAGATCAAAGAACAGAATATGGAAAAAGTATGTAGGGGTATAAAAGTTTACATAGCAACTCACCCCTTCTCTACAGCATCTAGATATAACACTGTAAGTCATGGAGGGTATAGACCAGTTTTCACAGCTTTCATCTTTACTCTTCTCCTAAAATATAACCAGCTTTATTGAAAGATTTCTATCTACATCATTGTGGATTTAAAATATGAGAAATATATATTATTATGCCTAAATCAAATATGAGTGGTAATATATAGGGAGGGGAATGGGGTCGGGGGACGTTGGACATGTCCCCACCTAGTTTCTGACTGAGGTGACATAAGAAGGCCATCCCTGTCTGTACTCCTTCCAATCAAACAGTAATATGTACCTGTACTGCTACTCTATACACCATCTCACCTACAGCCGTTAACAAACCAAACTTTAATTTACTATTCTTAACATTCTCACGAATAATCTCTGTCAGTATAGTGACTGGCTGAAAACAATTCAATTACATAATAATTAGAATCAGATTAATAGATAGAAAATCACTCATATTCTTCAGTATAAGTTAATATTATCTTAAATCTTCAGACGAGTATCACATCTTATTTTTTTCATCTGTAAGATGATCTACATTCACAATAGCCAGAGATTTCTGTTTTTTTATCCCTTGTGAAGAGACCTCAATGTTTGGATGAAATTGGCATAAATGATCTGATTGTATTACCTCTACCTATAATGCACCCCAAAATCGAAATGAAATGAATGGAGTTTTATGCTTTACTGTTCGCACCCCTGAATGGAGAGCAACCGCCTAATCCTTAGCTACATCAACCACAAAGTAACGATGTCCATGCATCATAAAGCAAAGACACACTATTTACTTCAAAAGTCTTAAGGCTTTAACCTATAAAGTCTGTGTAGGTCTCTGTCAATTTCCATGTATCTAATGAAAGATGCAAAAATATCAACTTCAAAGCTCTTAAAGCACTAAACCAACGAAGAAGTATGAATTATGTGTCAGCCACTTGTCTATAGATAAATAAGGTGCATACCTCTGATATATTGACAGTATCCTCCAGTTCTCCACAATTCAAAGCTATCAGAGCCATTACTCTGGCCATCTTTAAACGTCTGGAATAGAAACACAATAAAATATTCGTATTGGCCATAACAGAAAATTTCAGTTGGCTTAGCTTGAACATATTTTTTCTATTGATTACTAATTCAACCCAGATGAAGAACTGAAATCTAGTCTATATTAGTGCTGGTTATCATCAATCATGCCTAGATACAACATGTATCGAGATACAAGGGTCACGATACGATACATATCGTGATATCGGGTAATAGGATAAAAATTAACATTTTATCTTCAAAGTTTCCATATACATTAATTAACTTTATCAATCAATAACTTTATAACTGTAATATTCGGTAATATAGGTGATAGAAGTGGTTATCGTCAACTGTCTTATAAAAAGTTTCTAACAATTTCAGTGAAAAAAATTGTTATATCATAAAAAAAACTTATAAAAATCCCCTCTTTATAGAATAAAACGTATCACCAAGCATTGATACACGCAAATTGTGGCATGTCGTAATACAATCGAAATCAAAATGTACTCACACATCAACATGTTGTATATCTTTAAGTTGTTTAGCTAATATATATATAGCCTGATTACGTATTAAATGGTAGCTGATTTTACTGTCTGTAGTTATAGTTGTAGTATAGTGAAGTAGCTGGATACGTTTCTGAGAGGGAGGACCTTTTTCAACATGGCTAATACTGTCTACAACTGTCTTGATATGCTTCTGGAATTCTTTTTCTGGCAATCCTAATATTTTCTCCACTGGAAACATAATTATAAACCTCATAACTGGACCGTATCTTACAACATATATCATCAAAATTTATTGTAATTTTTCAAAATGAAGATAAAATATGGGCCGCCATTTGACAAAAGTCTCATCATCAAAACGCATCATAATCACACTTCGGAACATGCGGTTTTTTAAAACTTAAATTTTGATCATGATGATGAAAATGGGGTGAAATAGGAAGTCTAAATATAATATAAGTAACATACCATTATATGGAGGTACAGGCAAAGTTTTAGAATCATATTTAACAGCTAGAGGCTTCTGGATCTACAAGAAAAAGATATCAAGTCACTAAACCATATCCAGAAAACGGACATAAACAACTACAGAAAATAATAATACCGGTATCAAAAATATATAAGTGCCTTTTTGATGAAAAACATAAAATTTCACCTAAAAAAACTTTTTTCATTGATATTTTTTAAGTATGGTAATTCCATTTTATTTCCTAAAGTTCTTAATAAATTGATATTTCTGGACTGCAGTCCTTCGCAACAAAAAAGCAGACATGTGATGGTCATTTACTTTACTCTAGCGTAATATCTTTCCTACCTTCGGATTATCTACGATGTTAGTTATAATAAAATCACTGGGATGATAAATATTCTCTAACAGATCATTGGTTGTTTGTTCTGTGACATCATCAGCTCTGTCTGTTTTGATTGTTTCTCTGGTTGTTAATGGTGATTGTAAGGTACGGAAAGGGGAGGCTATTCTCTCATCATGTGCTGCTGTATGGGGACGAGCACTGAAATAACAAAATCATTTGATTATAAAATCATTTGCTTTCAATTTTTCAATCTCAAGCCTAATTTCTCTCAATTTGCTTAAAAAACAGATGTAAAATCAGACGAAATTCTTCCTTCAATCTTGAATTATGAAATGAAATGAATGGAGTTTTACGTCCTACTTTTCTGCACATAATTGGGCTTCTATAAAAGACACGCAATTCAAGCAGTGTGAGGAAAATTTTGTTAGGCAGGTGGTATTAGCCTACTGTCTTGAGATTTCAAATTGTCAGGGGAGTTTTAATATACACAGCCTGTAGCACATCAAGCCTTGGTTCTATTGTCCCATCAGAATGATTAGACGCTCTTGAATCATGACCTGACAGAAACTAAAATAACTAATGATAGTAATATACCTGAGTGTAAAGAGACTTTCACCACCGTCAATACCTGGTGCTGTTTTAGGTCGTAATACTTCTCCTAGTGTAGAACCTATACAACACAATATTATCCATAGAACTTTTATATTAATATATATTTTTCCAAATCATGATATTTAATCAATTCTAAAACTGTAAAACTGACCTAATTCCAATCAAATTTGATCATGGCATGGCATAAATGAAATTAATGGAGTTTTATACATTCTACTATTCTGCGGCTAATGAAAACATTGCTATGAGGGAAATTTTGCAATGACAAAACCTCCTCCAATAGGTATGTTTGAAGATATCATCTCTTTAATCTCGACCTATACTTGATTGAACCCAGAACCTTCATGTTAGCTAGCATGCTCTTAACTCCCATGGCATGAGGCAAATTCTCAAAAAACAGAGTGGGAAGTCTCATCCAGGCAGATATACTTACCTGGTCTGCCATCAGGAGTATCCAATCTAGATGTAGGTCGGTCTGTCATTATATCCACACCTTTTATTTTGCCTAGTACTGATCCGGCACCATGTTCAAATATACTGGACCGTCCTGTAAATATCTCACTTCTGTTTACATCTTGAGATACAGTTAAATCTTTTGCCAAATCTGCCAGTTTGTTCTGCCAGAAACTATGGTTCACTAGTCCTGCCCAACCAAGCCTACAAAAAATAACAAAAAACTAGAACTGAAAAGACTACCTTTAAATCTTTTTGAGTGACCACAGAATTTCAGAAGGGCTAGGGGAGGGTTTCATAGGCAATTCATTCCCTATGAGAAATTTGAAATTGGTTTGACCATGTTCCTTGTTACCCTTAAACCTATATCGTCAAAACTTTTATTCTGGCTTTACCAGTACACACTTTTATCTGTATCCTTTTTTAACAACAGTTAGACTAGAAAGAACAAACAAAATAAACAGAGTTATGGTTACCTTCTAGTAGGGTCTTTCTGTAATAAACCTTGCAGAAGATTTAAATAATCTGGAGAGGGTTTGGCTGAAAATCTTGAGCCTGAAAAAAAAAACTTGTTAAAAGATTTTCATTAAATAAAAGTGACATTAAAGAAACATGCATTTTTATCAGGGATAACAGACCCTTTGCTTGACAGGAATAATGAGGAAAGATGACTTATTCAAGATCACCAGATTTTCACAAATCAAACAAAATTGGAACCAACAAACTGGAAAGCAACCGCAATTGATTTATTTTTTAAACAGTGATCTGATTGGTCAGATTTAAATAGCACCATTCTCATTCTGAGCACACAGCATTTCAGTCAAAAAGGTCAGACCAAATGCCTAAAATAAAATAATACTTTTACCTCTAACTTTTGGCAGAGGAAAGTCTTGATTTATTATCTTTTCTTTCAGTTGATTTTCAGATTCTGCTAAAAATGGTGGATGTCCTAAAAAAAAAAATAAAAACTATCCCTTAATTTCATAAATTTTCAACAGAATTTTATAGCTCAAGCTTAAACGGCTTTATTGTAAAGTTCAGGTATCTTTAATGGACAACACATAAAATATTCATTTTATTTCCTGTATAAATTATTATATTTTGACCTCACCTGTGAAGAGTTCGTAGAAAATACAACCCAAAGACCAGAGATCACTCAACACACTGGGTTCTCTCCCTTGAAGTACTTCTGGAGCAGAGTAGGTAATATTTCCTGAAATTTATAAAGCATGTCTCATTATTCCAAACATTCCAAAATTCATGCACCATTTCATATTTTAGTGAACCCCAGTTGAATAGATTGTATCATTTTCCAAGTTGAAAGTTGAACTTGTATCTAGTTGAATGACTCAAGATTCCAAAATATACACCAGTAGTTCTTCATTCATGGAGTAAGATAAAAAAAAAACTCGACTTTATGTAATAATGAGGAGCAAAAGAGTGCAATATAAAACTTCAACAAAATAATAAAGTAGTAGGATATCTTTTATTTCAGGCCAAAAACGGTCAAAAGAGTAGGATATGAAATTCCATTTCATTAGTCTGATGAGGGCTTTGATTATAGAACTCTACTCATTAATCAAATTGAACTGAATAATTAGATATAAAATTTCATGTCAATAAGCCTAGAATGATAGTAGAATGTTGAAATCAACTTAATTCCTGCTCACCAGAAGTATTAATATTCTTATAGACATCTTCCATATTTTCAGGATTCCACTGTTCTCCAGCATCAGCAAAACCATGAAATAATTCATCTAAATTCTCTCCGTCTCCCTTCGAGAGACCAAAATCTCCATATTTCAGAGCTCCACTTGTATCTAATAATATCTATACAAATAGAACATACAAATTAAAATATTATTTCTCTAACATAAAGGTAATGTTATAGGTTTGAATCAACTTTTAAAAATAAACTTTAAGAAAAAGTGCACTTTTTTTAGGCTAAATTATTCAATTCTAGCCCCTTTGGTCCTTCCTACAGACAAGCAGGGGTGCAGATCGCTTTTTCACTGCTTTTTCACTGCTTTTTCAATGCTTTTTCACATGATATGATCTACGAAAATATGCGAACGATAAAATTCGCTACGTGTGTCCCTTGGCCCCCTTTGTAACGATGCTTCTGTGTGTGTGTCCAAAAAGGAACGAATGGTCTTCCTGTCACTCGACCAAAAATTTTTGAATAGTGCACCACAGGCGCAAATTTCGTCACTTTTTGATGTTCTCGTATGCCAAATTGTGCCTATTTTACGTCCATTACAGATATACTGTGTCCCCCCCCCCCCCCCTTTTTTCTGACGCCCCCCCCCCCCTGTCCCCCTCGTGATCTGCATATGTCTGTTGGTTAGGTATTATGCGGTTATGTATCTATATGATTACATTAACCAATTAAAGGCATTTTTATACTCAAGACGACTCATATAAATCTTTAAGAATTTAGACACTTACCTTTGATGGTTGTAAATCATTAAATATGATCCCTAGTGAATGTATATAATGTAAGCCTGTCACCAGATCTACACCAAATGATCTGACTGAACTTTCTGGTAGATAGCCATCTTGTTTGATCAGACTAGACAAGGAACCACCTGTACACAGTTCAACTACCAGCCACAGATGGTTACTGGTTTCATACCACTCATAAAACTGAACGATGTTAGTATGGCTTACATCATGGGTCATTCGCACCTGAAATAAAATGAAATAGAGTTTAACATCTTACTTTTCAGTGCCTGTTAATGCTCATTAGGACAGGCAATGATGCAATGTTCAATAAGGGTAATTTTGCACCTGAAATATTATGGATTTTTACATCCTACCATTCTGGACCTATTTCAGCAAATTTAAACAACCAATGCCATACAGTGTTCAATGAGGAAAATTTTGCCAAGACTGTTTTTTTCCAATTGTAAAATGTCAAGGGATCTTTGAGGTGAGCCTGAAGCACACAGGAAACAAAAGCAAACTTACGGTATTAGTGACTTCTGGACGTTTACATTTATCAATACAATGTATAGCTACAAAATTTATGGTTCCCTTTCGTCGTCCCTTGTAGATTGTCACATGGTCTTTTTTACCCAGATTTTCATACAAAACAAAATTCTCCATTTTTAATTGTTAGATCACACCATTCTTTCTTACTAAAATATAAACAGAAGTCTTATGATAAGGTATGATGACATCACTATCACAAATTATATAAAGGCCCTTTGAAATGGTCATACAACATTTAGTTTTAGTGGAATTGCAGGAACCACAGACGCAGGAGTCAACTGAAAATTGGAAAATTGCAAATCGATGCTGTCAGTGTTTTCAACACCAGTACTCTATACATAAGAAGTTTTAAAAACTTCCTTACAAGCCCTTACAAGATAAATATTGTTGTTTAAGTAGCTTGCCAGTTGAAGGAAACAGGGATGAGAGCCAACACATGGCACTCGATGCTTTTAAGATCTCTTTCATTTTTTACAGTACCGGTACTCTCTCTGTCAACAAACACTTGAGCCAGCTCAGATTTGGAATTTTTTCTCTCTAATTTCAAAGATCTTATCAACAGTTAAACACATAAAGACAGTGGTCTATAGAAATTTTGCTGCAAGAGTCATCAACAGAGGCCTACAGTAGTTGAAGCTTAATATTCATCCATCGAAAACATTCCCCACCCCCATCTTTTTTTTTTGAATCTCAATCGACACATAAATTTTATGTGGGCCTAATGCATATTCTTTTAGTTTTGAAAAATTCTTGTTACTATGGCTGCAATATGAATACGATATAAACAATATTACAAATTCTGCTGTTTTTACCTTTACGAAATTCAAGAATATTCGGAATATGCAAGTTGATTCATCGCAACCAGTTATTTACATTATTGGAGGTGATTTTAGTGGTGAATATTGATATCAATAATTTTGATTAGTCAGTATTTTAAGACATCCAGCTCTCGACCAATCAAATTGTATCTCTTAGATGCTTTGATATCAGTAAAGAGTTGATAAAGGGAGGTGATTTAGAAGAAATAGAAAGTATTACTACAGACTACTAATAAAACATCATATGAAGTACGCCTATCTTGTAATTAAAACTTTTCCGTTCCACTTATAATCGATTAGAACCAGGCATACACATTCGCTGCAAATCGACCCGATATGAAATCTGAATTATTTCTAACTTAAAATTTTTTATGACAAATACACAAGAATTCTTTCAATTTCGCAAACTCTCTTAGTCTTTGTACTGTGGCCCATTTAAAATATAATTTTTTATGGAAGCTTAAAAGTACCAAAGTTAAACAGCAAATTAAAAGGCATAGCCGTCATAGGAACTTTTTGAAATTCATACCATACTATCTCACACTTGTCATTATTCGAAATATCAAATCACCAAGTTGTTGTCTTCCTTACGTTTTGTACAGAGGCCCATTAAAGACATGTACTAATCGACATACACAAACCGATTTATATATAAATATAGCACCAGGTATATGGGAACTCATAGTGTTCCGACTTAACTTAACTCTGTGGCAAAAGGGCGAAAAGATGATGTTGATGGTTGTTCTAATGTCCTATCAGGCGTGGTAATTATAGGAGACATATTATTTGTACTATTGCTATTAGTTTGCCTTTGATCCAATGGAATAGACATATTCATATATGAGCTTTGGATTCAATACAATATGATCTTAAATAAGTTATAAAACTAACCACACTACCATTCTAATGACCAAAAGCCACTCTATCCGATAATCAATAAATATATAAACACTGTTGTCCATTGAAGACATTTTAGGCCTAACGTCAATCATCTTATCCCCTTTCACAACCAATTGAGCAGATCGCATCGATCAATAAGTGAAAAGTGGCCTGTCCTGATTTCATATAGCCTAGATCTAGGCCTAATTAATTTAATTAATAACATTGTAACGCACCGAAACGGGCGCCAGAGAGTTGTATTATGGATTCACTCCAATTTCATTTGCAATATCTTCCCATGTTAAAACACGAAATTCAACCTTCTATAACTTTTTCAAAAAATCCCGTTGAAAGTCTTCCAATATGTCGAATCCTTAATGTTTCCTAAAAATGCAATATATGATGACCGTGAAAATTTAGAGCTACTAAAATTTAAAGTGGACTACTACCGGTTAAATGTATACTCATCCGCTACAGTTTGGCAGTTCACAAAACAACTATTTTTAGAATTAGCCTTCCGCCTTTAGGTTTCTCATCATCTCACCAAATGTTAAAGATAATACAATTTTAGAAATCAAATTCAAAATGTAGACCAAAAATTACTCTAAAATAGTCATGCAAAAACTCCAAAAGAGAGAGAGAAAGATGATTTCTAAAAATAGCCTGGACTACATTCCTATACAATAAAGTTAGGTATCGGACGTTTACCCTTCGTATGGCCTATAAGAGCAGATTATCGGCAACTTTTCCTGAGCTAACTTTTTTCCTATGGGAGATTTTTGAGCTCGGTTTTTTGCTAAATGTCGAGCTTACCCATGTGGATATGTGTGGAAAATTTCAGCTTTGTAGCTTTGTAACTTTTAAAAATAAAAATTTATTTGCATTTGAGCGCTTCTCGTGCAGTCGTCCCTTGTAACAAAAAAATATCCATTTTTTCCCCTAATTGATTTTAATGAGCTTTTAAGTGATATTCCGTGCCCTTGGGCCCTAATTAGTCGGAAAAGTCCAAAACATGGGCCAAATCGGTGTATTTCGCAAAGTTAGGTATCGGACGTTTACCCTTCGTATGGCCTATAAGAGCAGATTATCGGCAACTTTTCCTGAGCTAACTTTTTTCCTATGGGAGATTTTTGAGCTCGGTTTTTTGCTAAATGTCGAGCTTACCCATGTGGATATGTGTGGAAAATTTCAGCTTTGTAGCTTTGTAACTTTTAAAAATAAAAATTTATTTGCATTTGAGCGCTTCTCGTGCAGTCGTCCCTTGTAACAAAAAAATATCCATTTTTTCCCCTAATTGATTTTAATGAGCTTTTAAGTGATATTCCGTGCCCTTGGGCCCTAATTAGTCGGAAAAGTCCAAAACATGGGCCAAATCGGTGTATTTCGCAAAGTTAGGTATCGGACGTTTACCCTTCGTATGGCCTATAAGAGCAGATTATCGGCAACTTTTCCTGAGCTAACTTTTTTCCTATGGGAGATTTTTGAGCTCGGTTTTTTGCTAAATGTCGAGCTTACCCATGTGGATATGTGTGGAAAATTTCAGCTTTGTAGCTTTGTAACTTTTAAAAATAAAAATTTATTTGCATTTGAGCGCTTCTCGTGCAGTCGTCCCTTGTAACAAAAAAATATCCATTTTTTCCCCTAATTGATTTTAATGAGCTTTTAAGTGATATTCCGTGCCCTTGGGCCCTAATTAGTCGGAAAAGTCCAAAACATGGGCCAAATCGGTGTATTTCGCAAAGTTAGGTATCGGACGTTTACCCTTCGTATGGCCTATAAGAGCAGATTATCGGCAACTTTTCCTGAGCTAACTTTTTTCCTATGGGAGATTTTTGAGCTCGGTTTTTTGCTAAATGTCGAGCTTACCCATGTGGATATGTGTGGAAAATTTCAGCTTTGTAGCTTTGTAACTTTTAAAAATAAAAATTTATTTGCATTTGAGCGCTTCTCGTGCAGTCGTCCCTTGTAACAAAAAAATATCCATTTTTTCCCCTAATTGATTTTAATGAGCTTTTAAGTGATATTCCGTGCCCTTGGGCCCTAATTAGTCGGAAAAGTCCAAAACATGGGCCAAATCGGTGTATTTCGCAAAGTTAGGTGTCGGACGTTTACCCTTCGTATGGCCTATAAGAGCAGATTATCGGCAACTTTTCCTGAGCTAACTTTTTTCCTATGGGAGATTTTTGAGCTCGGTTTTTTGCTAAATGTCGAGCTTACCCATGTGGATATGTGTGGAAAATTTCAGCTTTGTAGCTTTGTAACTTTTAAAAATAAAAATTTATTTGCATTTGAGCGCTTCTCGTGCAGTCGTCCCTTGTAACAAAAAAATATCCATTTTTTCCCCTAATTGATTTTAATGAGCTTTTAAGTGATATTCCGTGCCCTTGGGCCCTAATAGTCGGAAAAGTCGGATC